TTGTTTTTCACAGGTCAAGATGAAAGACGATTGACAACTCGCAGAAGAAGCCAAAAGAAGATTTGTTTAATACTAACAAAAGATTAACATACTAATAAGAGCATCACTCAACCTTTTCTTAGTCCCGCTATATACCTTCCCCTTTTCTGATATTAAAAGCAATAAACGCTCTCCTTTTTAGGAGAGTCAATAAAAAAAAAGAAGAAGCTGAGGGTGAGTGGGTTCTTTGGAGCCTGCTAGAAAGTGGTTCTGTTTAAGTTCTGTTTGGAGCTAATTGTGTTTTGGGGGATGCTGGGGACTGAGTGAGTTGCTGTGGATTGCAAGCCCCACCCCCTACTGTGCTAAGCTCTGCTGTGCTTGGCAGGAAGTGACCTTTTGAAACAAAAGGCTCCTCCTCGCCTTAGCCTGTGGCTCTTGGCCTGAGGATCTGCCCGAGAGCCCCGAAACTCTGCTCAGAGTACTCTTGGAATATACTTGGATGGCAATGATGTCGACTGCAGGCCCCTTTCCAGTCACCTGCATGGAGTGTGCCATGTTTGTTTTCCTCCCCGAAAAAAAGACGGACTTCACTTGTCAGAAGTGTAAGCTGGTCAGGCTTTTGGAGGAGAACATTCAGAGCCTGCAGGAGTGGATCACTGCCCTTCAGGAAATCAAGGAAGGGGAGGATTTTATTGACAAGAGCCTGGGAATGCTGCAAGAACATGTAGAAGAAAGTCAAGGAGAAGAAGGTAGAGTCGATCTCCCTTCTGAGCCTCCTCTCAGTTCTACAGTATTTATTTTTATTTATTTGTTGATTTGACTTTTACCCTGCTCTGGTCCACTGGTGCTCAAGAATTGTTTTGTGGTGCTTGAGAGGGTGACGGAGACGAGAGTGGAAGGAGAGCCACAAGGACCTGGAAAAGGGAGTGAAGAAGGCATAGAAACAGGAAGAGGTGGTCGTCGGGGACTCTCTGCTCAGGGGTATGGAACATAATGTGTCCAGGCCGGATCCTTTACTCTGAGAGATGTGTTGCTTACCTGGGGCCAGAATTCAGGATATTACAGACCGACTGTCAAAACTGATAAGACCTACTGACCAGTACCCGTTTGTGCTGGTTCATGTGGGGACAAATGACACAGTTGCGAATACCATCACGAAAATTAAACAGGACTATGAAGCTCTTGGAAGGCAGTTGAAGGCATTGGGGGCATAGGTGGTATTCCTTTCTATCCTTCCAGTCATAGGAAGAGGAGTGCGAAGAGAACAGAATCAGAATCAAGCCAGATTTCGTTACAGAAAATGTTGTCCGGAGAACAGGTCTACCCTCCTCTTTTCACTATATTGGTAGACCTGGCCTCTGGAGGTCTACCCACCCTTTCCCCCTTCATTGGTAGATCTGGCCTCGAATCATCACCCTGCACTGGGCCTTAGAAAATATACCAGTACTTGGGGTGTGTACAAAAAAAACCAATCGATTTTTCTGACTCAGTTATAGTCTATGGGAAGATAGGTAACGAAGAAATGAAACTCAATTTATTTGCAGATGATATCATAGTAATCATGACAAACCCTAGGGAAGGAGTTAAAGAGGTTAAGATCATTTTAGAAGACTTCAAAAAGTGCTCAGGGCTACGAGTTAATATGGCAAACTCAGAAATCTTATATTTTAACGTTAATAGGGAAGAGTGGCAGGAGATAAATAGGAACACAAATATAGGACTGGGTGTTAAGAAATTTAAATATTTAGGTATAGTTTTGCAAAAAAATGTTGACAAAATGATAAAGGATAATTATGAAAAAACATGGAAAAAATAGGGACATGAAAAGATGGAATCACAAATTGTTAGGGATATCAACTAGAATAAGAAGCGTTAAAATGTTTTGGGTACCAAAGTTAATGTACCTATTCCAAACACTGCCTTTGGGATCGATGAAAAAAAAATTGAACAATGGAACAGAATATTAAAAGAGTGGATATTCAATAGTAAAAAATGTAGATTTCATAAGAGAATAATATATAGTCACAAATCAGAATTTGGATGGGGAATCCCAG